GGACAACAATCGGGTTTGGGTCTAAGCTAGTAGTCTAGGCAGATAGCATTGTCGGAAAAAAAAAGGAAAATTGATATGGGCATTTCTGATTTGTTAATAGGTGTCAGCCAGCCATAACCAGCCCCACTCAAGGCTCGTACCCGCGAACTTTTGATCAAAAATCTAACGCTGTAATCAGTGAGCTACGAGCTCGTTGCCTCGCCGGCTTTAAATCGAGAGATACTGACAGGCTGCAGTTACGGACCTGCAGTCGCAATGCAGCCAATGTTCGACACTTATGAAATGTCCTAAAGCCCGATACCGGCATTGTGACCTGACGAGCGTGAATTATTTTTTATTCGATCCCCTGCCCTACGGTTAGGCTCTTGGGCAAAAACGTTGGAGAAAAAACTTTGAAAAAACAATTCAAGCACCTGTCGAAAGCACGCTTGCATTTGAAGTGCTCAAGAGACCTTATGAAGACATGCTCGACTACATTATTACGATGTATACTTTGTCTACGGGGGTCAATACACTTCGCAACATTGATCCAATGGTGTGAACAAATAGTACGTGAAACGAACTGCTCAATCGACATGGATACTGGGATGGGAGAACGCTCCTGGACCTGTTAGCCAGAGGCTGACGGCGCGCAGTCCCAATTAGCATAAGATGGACGTCTACTACCCGTCTTTCTCGGCTCAGATATCCGAAAAAGAAATATTCCGGGAGCCAATTCAAAGATGCACCTACGTTCAAGTGCAAACTCGATTGCGAACCTTGACATGAGGGTGCTTATAAACAGCCCGCTTCAGCATACTAGAGTAAACACTATCCAAATGGCGTCTTCCAATGTCTAAGAAGTGGCTTGGCCAAGATTTTCAGGGTACTCGTGTTATCCTGACCATCACCGAATAAGACTAACAGTAAGAGGTATATTCGAGCGCATGTCTGAATCCCTATTTTGTGTACTTGGATCCTCACGATCTCGTGCTACATCATACTGACCAACACGGATGTGTATGGTAAGATGCTGCCTCACGTCGGCCCCAACAACTGTTAGGCTCCGAATGCTGTAGGTGCTCATTTACTTCACTCCTATAATGCTGAGCCTCAC